TAGTCTATCCGAACCTCACTCCTCTCCTCACGCCTGTCCTCTCCTGTTCATCTCCCGCCTACACCCCCCCCCCTCCCCTCCGACTTGTTGTTGTGTTTACCCATCAACGTCACCTCACCTTAGCCAACACTACGCAATCTTGTGCATAGTCCCTTCCCGTCATTACCTTGGTCGGCGCTTTGCATCTTACTTTGCTTTGCTCCTCCTACCAATACACACACGCATACACACACACACACACACACACACACAACCGCAAAAACACTACTAGGAAATCCTACTTGTTGTCGTCATCGTCGGCAATCTTTGGAATCATTTGGTGGAGCCCGGAGACGTTACAACGTAAACCTAACATTAGCTTATGGGCTGGCATAACGCTGGTCCTTTTCGTTCACACTGGATATCAATCTCCTTCTCGAGCCCCGCGCCCGGGGCTCCGAGTCACCGGCCAGCAAGAAGAGCTCAGTATCTAATGCATCTCACTCAACCGGAGCTACACGGGGATACACAACCGCACCCTCAGCCTACACACAGTCGCCGGCGCAAAGAGCATCGCCCGCGTATGCAACTGGATCGCCGGGCTACGCAACTGCCCCCCAACACTATGCTCCCATGGCTGCCTACCCCCCACAGGCACCAACATCAGCTCCCAAAGGATCTGCACCAATGCTAGGAGGACCCGTTTTGCCCGCCATTGCAGAGCTTCACCGACGGAATGAGTCTGCGCCGCTTCCTCAATTCCGCCAACTCTACTCAGGACCCCATGGACCCACACCTGCCCACGGCGGCCCAGCAGCTACCAATGTTTCTCCTCCATCAACACTGAAGCGCCAGGCATCCCAAACACCACTCCCCGACGAGAGCCCCGCTAAGAAACAATCCAAATGGACTCCTGAAGAAGACAACCTAACAATAGAACTGCGGGGCCAAGGCATGAAGTGGGATGACATTGCAAAACGACTTCCCGGACGGAGTTCCATCTCGTGCCGCCTGCGATACCAAAACTACCTGGAGAAGCGAGCTATCTGGGATGAGGAGAAGAAGAACAAGCTAGCACGACTCTACGCCCGGTACGTACATTAGAAAGAGCGAAAAAAAACGGCTAGATCTTAATTTATTTTGGACGGCCGCCTCTTCCCCAAGAGGCTGGCAGTGAATGTTCTTTGGTTTGTTCGGTCAGGCAGGCCGCAGACAAAAGACATCTCACACACACGTGCGACACAACAAGGGCGAAAAAAACAAATACTGACTTTTTTTGGGAAATAGATTCAAGGACCAAATGTGGCAGAAGGTTGCTACCGAGATGGGTATTCCCTGGCGTTCAGCCGAATCCATGCACTGGCAGTTGGGGGAGCAGGAGATGAGTGCGCGCGCCAACGCGCCAGTGTTTCAGCTCCACCCATCTGCAACGGGAACAGGCATGAGCTCGCCATCGCAGGTGCCTGTCATACCCGCGCCTGCACCCCATGGCTTTACTCCCGCAAACGCAGCTCAGTTGATGCCAAACCCACCGCCGATGCCACCGCAGCTTCACCAAGCACCTCCGGCGCCCATGGCCCAAGGCCCGATACACGGCTACCACCACCGCACAGACAGTGGCTCCAGCGCCGGTGGCAGCGGTGGAGGCGGTGTCGTCGGCGTCGGACGCAGGCGGAACAGCTCCTTCAGCCGGCGACGGGCAGATGCTCGTTCACGCTCGAGCGTGCCACCGCAACTCGGCCAACCTCTCCCACAGATCCACCCGCGATCCGAAGAAGATTTAGTCAGCGGAGCGCGAACCGCACCCGTCCCGGACATGGCGGGGTCACTGAAACGAGAGGGCGAGAGCCTCAGCTACATGGAACATTACCAACGGCGCCGCCAGCAAGAAGAAGAAACCGCTTCGTCGGCCCCAGCAGCTGCTACCTCTGCACCACCCCCACGATCAGATCCCTCGGACATGCATCAACAACAACAACAATCACATACGATGCGCAGCCCAGATCGAATGTCCCAACACAGCAACACTGGCAGTATTCACAGCCTCAAACGCGACCCCGAAGATAATAGCACCTCGGACCGCCGCTCCCTCGCCTCCCCTTACGAGCGTCCCACGTCCACCGTGCCATGATTTCCCATCCCACTCCTTTTCCCCCACCACCACCACCACCACCAGAAAAACTACACCTCTGTTGTTGTTTCGCAATTGAAGCGTTCTTTTCATCTCAGCATTCAACCCCGGTCCCACCACCGCTTTTTCTTACATATACATTCACGCTCAAACGAATCTTCTTTTTACTCTATAGTCTCACAACGTTTTTTGTTTTTATAGATCTTAAGAAACCCTTTTCCTTTTACCTTTACCCTACCCCTACCCCCCCTCCACCCCACTCTCACTTCCTCCTTCGCGCTGGAGAGAGAGAAAACGTTGTCTTTTTTTTTGCATGGGATTTTTTATAGACTTTTGTCATTCTTGTTTTACTCGCGCGCGCACGCGTGCTTTTGGGCCATGTTCATATATGTATACACGTTTTCTTTCCCATTACTACTTGGCCGATTGGAATAACGGGAAAGGAAGAAAAGAAGAAGAAGAAGAAGAAGAAGAAGGAAAGAGGGGAAAAAGATATACGAAGCATTTTCGGGCCGGGACCGTAAGGGGGGGGCTATGAGGAGTTTTTTGTTATATGGTCTAGAAAGCGTGTGCTTTTTCCAATGGAGTTTTTTTTGGGGGGGTGGGATGGGATGGGTGTTTGGGGGTATGGCGCGCATTGCAAAGGGAAAGGCAAGGAAGGGAATGGATACCCCCACCACCCCTTACTCTCGAGATGCGCACGATGGGGAGGGGAGTGTGGGTTTTTTTTGCTGTTGCTTTTTTTTTACTAGATGGATGGACGGGACGGGACTGGGGCGACGGAGGGAGAGGGGGATCTGGTGGGTGAGGAGGGAGAAGAGGGGGGGGATGTAGGTTGATGGCTTGTCTTTCTTCCTTCTTCTTCTTCTTCTTCTTCTTTCCCTCCTTCCTCTTCCTTCCCTTCCTTCCCTTCCTCCCCTGGCCCCCCGTTTTATGCGAAGATCATGATGTTCACTTTTTTTGTTCATGGCATTTAGCGTGGGTTCTCTTTTTTTTGCTTTATACTTTGGGCGTGTTGTGTCCTACACACACACACACACACAAACATGTGTTTTTTGGTTTTCTTTTTCTTTGGCTATCATCATATCCCTTTTTTTTTCCTTCCATCTTTCCAATCATGCATCTTTGTTGCTTGCGCTGTTTAGTCATGGTTTCCTATACTCTCTCTCTCTCTGTGTGTGTTTTGTTTTGAATGTTTTGTTTTCTCCCCCATCATCGCGAGTTTACATGATTGCATTGCGTGTTTTTGTTTCGTTGCATCCGGGAAGGGAGGGGAAGCATTGTGCGGGGTCGGTTGTGTGCATCTTTCTTGGGGAGCATCTTGTTAGCGTTTTTTTGCTTATTTCTCGTCTTCTTGTTTATGCAGAGAAAAATGCGCATCTGGTTCCCCCTTCGTTCCCACCCCCCCCTTTTTTCCCCTACACTGTGGGAAGGGTTCGTTCTGCGGCATAGGCATTTGCTTGGGAAGGTGGGGCTTAGAACATCTGCTATAGCGCGGTTTTATGGATTACGGGTGGGTTTTACACGTCTCACGTTTTAGTTTTGCGTTTTACTGTTTCAATGGGCATTTTTTATGTAACTAGACTATTTTGTTTTTCCGTTCTTACATATAACTATATCTATATATACATATACATATACTGCAAAAAATCTTATATAACTATCATGTTTCTTTGTAAAGAAAAAAACGGCACAACTTGGTTTGAGAAACAATCATGTTGGTTTCGCATGGCACACACAGGTATAGAATGGAAAAGAATTTGGTCGTAGAAACACTTTAGACCCCTCCCCAGCAATTGGGAAGTACCATGTTCAGTTCAACAAAGTTCAATGACATGCTCAGCGACCAAGTTTTTTTTCCTTCTTGACACGTCCACCCCGGCCAACTGTATGTCGTCAGGCATTTCCCTTGCTGCAAAGCAGGGAGGGGGAGGAGGGGGAGGGGGGGGGGCAAACAAAGATGTGGCGGTGAACATGGACACATAACAGTCACACACACTGAAGAGACAAGACCTGGTAAGGTTCGTTTCTCGTCTACCCCAGAATGGCCCTTGCTGGTCTTGGGCCCCAAACTAAGCGGTGCCGGTGACGTAACAGCGGGCGATGCAAGTCTCGAGAAGTCGGTCAAGCAGCGTCTACGTGGCCGACGCTGAAGGGGGGGGTGGGAGGGGTTTGTGTGTGTGTGTGAGTGTGTGAGTGTAGAGGGGGGTAGCTGCGCTGTCACCGCTTCCAATGAAGCAGGGGTGTGGTGGGTTTGCGCGCAGCAAGGGCAGTTTACTCTAGAGGCGACGCCATGGTTGAAGAGAAAAAATTTTCCGACGCCAATATCAGAAAGTGTGTGTGAGAGTATGTGTCGTAGGCTTTTCTAGACGTGTTTGGGGGGGGTGGCCTGGGAGGGGGGGTGTTGCAGCTAGGAAATTGGGAGGAGGGTGTCGAGTGCGTTGGCCAGTGGACTGCAGACAGGGCTCTTACCACTGGAGACATGTGAGGGGCTAGTGATTGGGCGGATGTGGTGAGCAGAAAGAGAACAAGTGCGGGTTGCATGAACGGTTCGCTGTCCTTGCATATGGTGGCTAGGGGTTAGGCTATTTTGGGAGGGGGAGTGGATGGGAGAGTGGTGTGCTGGAGGGTGGGTGTGTGGGTGTGTGTAGGTGTGTGTGTGTGTGTCATGGTTCTTGCAGAGGGTGTTCAGCCCCGCAAAAGCAAAGATTGCACGGCTGGTCTTGCGCGGCCCTGCCATGTTTGACCCGTGTAGGGCTGGCTTATCGATAGCAAAAGATCCAGTCCTGACTGGACTCGACTCGACTCGACTCGACGGGCCTTGGGCGACGACTTACTCCTCGCACTCGTCATCCCATGTCCCATCAGACCACGCCTGTTTTGTTTCCTTTTAGCCTTCTTCTTCTTGTTCTTCGGCAACGGCGACGTCGGAGGCTGCTGCTTCTGCTTCTTTCTTCCTCGTCTCCCCCCTTTCTTCTTCGTATCCCCTGTTCCTGCTCGCTTCCTCGTCTTCTCCCCCCCTCCCCGACCTCCCTCCCATGCCATGGCCAAAGCTGCCGGGCCCAGTGAGGCACAAGGCTGATGGATGCCATGGACCGTCGGTTCCCGCCCTCGCCCACGGTCGGCGGCCATGAACGGGCTTGAAACAGGCTAGCGGACAGGCCCAAGGCAGAGTTTGTGCCCCGGGCGTCAGGCCATGCACTCTTGTGGCCGGGCTTGGGGGTTCTTTTGTTCTAGAAGGCCGCTAGCATGACAAGTGGTGTGTGTCCCCAACCCCCCCTTGCACGGCATACCCGTCGCCCGCTCCCCCAGCCGTCGTCGTCGTCGTCACAACCTCAGGCATAACCAAACGCACACGCCCACACCAATCCCACCGTCAATGCATGCACCATGACGCCAGAAGACGGCCTGCCTTCGACTTGCGACGGCTTTTGCTTCGGTGCTGTCTTCTCGGCCGTCCTGGCCTCTGAACGCCCTCGACGCTGCTCGCTGGTAAAACTGTTTCCCCCGGCTTGGCCCTGCATGCGCCCAGTACTGTTCGCATGATCCGAACCACCAGCTGCCAGCCTGTGTAAACGCCCGCCGCCGCCGCCATCTCGATGCTTGGCGGGCCGACTTTGGGTGCATGGCCAAGTGGTAGTGTATCGTCGCAGCAGCCGCCTGGGTATGGGTATGAGCATGTACGCCTGCTACTTACTACATACATGTGTGGACGTGCACGCTGCGCATTGTCCAGACAGACGTACTCTACTTACTCTCTCAGGTAGTAAGCAGGCAATGCCACCAACCACCCATCCACCACCATGACACGACCATGGCACGGCTTTTCTTCCCTGGGCCTTCGAGAAGCCTTCCTATCTAGGCATCCTTGAATTTCCCACCTGTTCGCCAACCGCGACTCATGCCACCGCTGCACATGACGACACCCTTTCACTACACGCCCAGCCTCACCACCGCCTCTTCTCCTCAAGCCCCGCCATGGCTGTCCTTGCCTCGCTAGCCAGGGCGTTCCCGTCCAGCCTACCGCACCTTTTTTTTTCCCTTTCCTCGCATCCATCACATGACCATTACCTGGCCCCTTGCACACGCACACGCACACGCACACACACCCCGTCCTCGTGCCTGTGCCTGCAATCCTCCTTTTTTCTTCTTCCCTGCCTTGCTTTTGGCTTCGCGGCCATGGTCCCGCTCGCCGCTGGATGGATGGATCCAACACGCGACTTTCTGATCGCCCGGGACCGCTGATCGCTGCCTCGGACCCAAGCCCACCAAGGGGCATCCAAAGCCGTTCCATGTCGCAACCACTGCCATGTCCACCAGTCATGAACCATGGCTCCAGATGCCCTCCCCACCCACACGTTTGCCCTGCTCTCGTCTGCTCTCCCCATCGCCAGCCCTTTCTTCGCGCTCACGCTAGCGTTCAAGCAGAAGCTCGTCTCAGGAAACATGCACCCGTCATCCGTTCAATTTCGGCACTGCAACGGGCAAATTTGGCCTGCACCCAGCCCTGTTGTCCACGACATGCCCGTTCACCCACTGCCTGGGTGCCCCCAAAAAGCACACCGTTGCATCGCCGTTATCGCCTACCCTGGAACGTGGCCTAAAGCGTCGCAGTGCATGCTTTTTGGTCGATAAAACCCATCCAACAATGGCATATTGAGTCGCGCGCGCCTCGCAACACCCCGAGGCCCCCCGGCGTGCCACTTGCATCAAAACCACGACTCGTTCGGCACAATGCAATGAGTTCTGCACTGAATATCTCCCAGGCCCTGCCCGGCGTATTGCAGCCGAAACAGTCTTTGTGCCTTACATGCTACACTGGCCCCACGCCCTCTGTGCTAGACTATCAATAGCTCCAAGGACCACGCTTGCCCAAATATCGCCGATCGAGTAGTTCGCTGCCAGTTCATCGGAACTTAATCAGGAAGTTAACCGCTTAACTGGCCGAATCCGTTCATGCCCCCAAATTCGCGCACCAACACGGCGATTCATGCATCAAACCTCGGATTCCAACGCCGGCATTCCCCGTACACAACAAAACATGTCGTCAACGGCGTCGATAGGGCCAGACTAGGAAATCCTCGACTGCCATAATTGTCGGACCGTCGTCAGAGGGGGTTACCCTTGTGACGAACGACATGACGAGACAGCGGCCGGCACGTATGTTTAAGGGAGTATTTTTAGGGCTGTGCGGCCTCAGAATCCAGGCGGAAACTGGCCATTTCGCTAGTTAAAACTAACAAGCGACAACAACCCCAAATACCATCTTCCGATCTGATGACAAAGGCAGCCCACACGACTTCAGCTCGACCAACACGACACAAATGCTATCAATTTTTAACGTCATTGCAGTTTCATCGACCCACCGCTTGTCCTCTATGTTTGTCGTAGTGCCCAGTTGTTCCATAGAGGCGGTGTCACGCAGCGCCACAAAAGCCGCACTACTTTCAAGCCACGACAAGGCCATGTCAGTCTGGCAATCCCCCCCAAGGTTCCGCCTCAAGACGCCCCAGTCGCCTGGCTCTCGCTCCGTAATCTATCTTGGAGGCCACTGCAAAATCTCTCTACTCTGCTAAGCCCACAAGCGTCCACTTCCCTTCTCGGCGCCGTCGCTCTGTCAGTCTCCATCTTCACCGGAAGACAAACTACGCCAGGAACGTTCATGTAGGGCCTACGTGATGCAGGGCCCCGCCCGCCCGCCCTATCTATCTACACCGCTTCTCACCGCCTAGAGCTAGACGACCTCATTTTTACTTACTTGCACTTTCCATGCGTTTCTCTGCATGCTCTCCACTAAGCTGGAAACGATACCCTCGCTACCGGAAATGTCCGTTTTTGTGTCACGTTGATGTCGCTGCTGCTAGTTGCCGCTTGTGCATGGCATGCAAGGTCTTTGCGAAAAGTTGGGACGTACATATGTTGTGGCTGCATGTAGTATCAGCTTGGTATTTGGTAGAGGCGTTGAGGCTGAGTTACACCGCCTTGAAGGTGTACACCGCTTGGATATTGAGGTGAGTGAGAAGATTATGCAGAATGTTTGTAGTCTTCGTCTTTGGCGAAATGATTGTGTGTGGTGCAATTCTCGATGTCTGAGCCTGGACGTGTTTCTCCACGTTGCAAATTCGGATGATGAAAGAATGATACCCATATTGATACCCTTTACAAGTAAAAGTAGTATATAGAAAATACCAAACTACATCTTACACCACAACTCACTCCCATCATACTCACCACTCTCCTAACCACTTCAAGCCCTCACCTACAATCCCAACAACAAACACCTTAGCACCTTCATCTCAAACCCTGCAAGCCCCATACCCATACATACTCAAAATGCGAAATAAGCCTTTATACCCACGTCCACGTATCGCCTACATATTCTCCACATCTCAAACACCCTTGCTTCCACTCTAGCTTAATTACATTTTGCCTCTACCTCCATCTCGATCACGACTTACTTCAACCCCAACACTTCGTATCGTAATGAGATATGGTGATCGCGATGCGGAGACGATATGCATCCACCACTCGCACTCTAGCTAGATACGCGGTTGTAGGTTAGATAGAGGAGTGTGGATGCACTGGATGGGCGTAGAGTCGTACTCAAGCCTAAGCCCTCGATATCGTTTCTTCGAAAAAATTGAGAGCCGTACTACTTTATCTTCACCAAGACTTGTACGGCCATCCCTTTCTCTCTCGTTCACTTAGTCGTATATCTCATCTCCAACATACCCAAACTTAATCATCATAAAGGTAAAATGCGTTTAGGAGGGAAAAAAAAATAAAAATAAATCGAGAAACCGGAGGTTTTAAACTAGATTACATAACTTCCCAAGTGGACGAGACATTTAAAAAGACACTACACATGTATTATGTTATGTATATCTACACTGCAAAAGGGAAAAAGAGGGACAAGGAGATGCACACTAGTCAACCTCACAAAATATGTACGCTCCAAGACTTCCCCCCCCCCCATGAGTGGAATTGCGGCGGGAAAGGCATGTAAGAAGCTTGTGTGTGTAAATAGAGAGAAAATAAAAAAAAAATGCAGATGTGGATATATCCGCATTCAGTCCATACACGCCATCGTGGGTAACGTAGTTTGATAACACTCCAACCGACAGACAAAACGGAGTGGGGGAGATGAGATGTTGAGGTCCCAGCTAGACGTGTAGGAAAAAGAAGGGAGTGTTTAAGAATATGAGAGGAAAAAAAAAGGTGAGGGGTAAAAAAGGTGAAGGGATGTACATGTTTGCATGTATGTTTTGATATGTGCATATAGACAATAAAAAAAGAAAGCATTTGTATGCATGACCGTTTGAATGGTAGGAGTGCATAGGCTCGCGTACAGTACTGCGTAGTTTGTAGCAAAGAAGAGTGAAGATGTGGTATTTCACAAAAAGGCCAAAAGGGGGAGGGGATAAGGCATGTAGTTGTTATGAAGTGAATATGCATATACTGCTAGAAGTCTCGTCCTCTCCGGTACACTGCTGATGCATCGCATGGGCAAGAAGAAGAAGAAGTTGAGATGTAGGAATCCCCGCAAAACAAGTCATGCTACTGACTATGAAGGTAAATTGAGAACCCAGCCATACCATGCTATGCTGTCCCATGTCATACCATACCAAACCCTCAACACCAGAGAAAAAAAAACCCTCAGCCCCAAATCTACTCCTCAATATCCACAAACTTCTCCTTTGCCTGCGCAAAGAAAACCCGGGCTGTTCCAGACCCAATGTTCCTAATACTATACGTATTCCCTAATAGAATAAATTAGCCAACAGCTTCCCTTAAAAAAATACCTCATGTGATGTATAGAAATGGAGAAACCAGCGGGGCCAATCAGCGCGCGAAACGCGGTATATTGTGACCGGCAAGCGCGTCAAGAGCGCAAAGCATCAACAACAACGGAAGTGATGGAGAAAAGGGGGAAAATAAGCGAAAGGGAAGGCGAGAACGAAAACGGGGCTGCGAAAAAAAAACTGGGGGCTGGCTGCAAAGCGAAGAAACAACAACAGCCAAAGGTGTTCTATGTTCGTTGCGTTGTTGAGGAGAGAGAGGTCCACACAACGCGCGCGGTAGCCGCCTCAAACGAAAGTACCTGTCGTTTGCGCAGCAGCCAGCAGTCGAATCGGAGGAAAAGGTCCAGCCAAGCCAAGGGCACACAACGCTACTCGCCGTCTCCAAATTGGGGGGTAAAACGCAACATGCAAGTGAGGTACCCACGCAGCCCCATGCACCACGCAGACAACGGCAGTAGCTCCGCATGTGACGAGAATAGGCGCCCTCTCGCTTGGCCCCCACATGATGGGTCCGCTCGCTGCTGCTATGTGTTCCTGGGGACCGTGTGATGTTGCAGGACATGTTGAGAGAGCGCGTAAGTGCGAAGAAAAAAGTGGGATGCATTGTGCATCATGTTTGCTCTAGCGTCGAGCGTGAAGTGACGGCGCGTTGTGCAGAACGCGCAAAGGGCGGGAAACCAGAAAAATGCAAAGAACGGAACAGAACTACTGAAAGGGAACGATGTGTGGGGAAACGATTGAGAAAGGAAGGAGATGAAAAGTTAAACGTACCTCGAGGCACTTGCCAGATGCCATGTTTGTGAATCGTGAATTCGTTCTCGTGAACACGGACCTCGACGGTGCCCGATTGCACATTGAAGACCATGTGCATAAATCGTGAGTTCTTTGTGCGCTTCATCTGGTCAGGACCCAGCTCAATGAGTCCCCAGTTGAAGAAGGAGCCGCTCGAGCCAATCTTTGCGAATTTGAATCCGCCGTCGCCGACTTCTCGCGGTTGGATGCCCTTCTCCGCCCATGCAATATCTGTGATCAAAAGTCAGCAAAAAAGACTTGTTGTACCTGCACAAAATTGAACTTGCCGTCTTCAATAATCTCATCAGAGGCACTGTTAATGGCTGGATCGTAGCCTTTGTAGTTACCCACGAGCCTGCCATCTTTCTCCTCCCAAGGATCCAGCTCAATATCCTCCTCTTCAACCATTGTGAGCCTCTTCTTCTTGCCTTTGGGTCCGTACTTCTTGTTCTGTCTCCGTGTCTCTTCTACTGCCGCGCTCTTCACAATCGATGTCATGCTTCCGTCAACGTCGTAAGAAATGTGGTCATTCTTCCAGAAATCAATTGGCGCGACCCGATGCCTGCCTGTTCGTCCAACACGAGCAACGTTTTCTGGATCTATCTCTCGGAAGACGGAGAGATGACGCCCACGTCCAAATCTTGACCCGGCTGACGTAGTTGACATCTGGTCAATGTCTTGTTTGCTCAGAGGGTTTCCGTATACATCCACAAGTTTGCCAGCAGCGACATCATCAATTAAAGGTGCCTTCTCTCTTGGTTTGGCTTTTGAGCTCTCCTTCGTCTTTGGTGCTGGTTTGGCCTTGGGTTCGGCGGCTGGCGGTTTATTCTTGGGCTCGGCGTTGGCTTTGGGTCTTCCGGGAGGTTTTCCAGGCTTTTTGAAGGCTCCTTCGTTCTTCTCCTTCGTAGCCGCATTCTTTGCCGGTTTTGATGCCACTGTGTTCTCCTTCTCTGCCGCAGGCTGTGCGCGTGGCGGGCGCCCTCGACGTTTCGGTGCCACTGGTGCTTCGTCGATTTGCTCAGATTCGTCCAAGGTAGTGTCGGCAGGCAGTTCGCTAGCACTGGCTTCTAGTTCACTAATATCAGAGACACGCTGAGATCTCCGTCGCTGGACAGTAGGCGCAGGCCCATTCTTCTTGCCTTTGAGAGATTCTGACGCCTGTGCCCCAGGTCCGCGCTTCCGTGGCTTCTCTGCAACCTCTGGCTGCTCTTCTGGGTTATCTACAGCGTCGCTTTTGCGCTTTCTGCCCCTCTTGACTGGCTGTTTAACAGGTTCTGTGACAATTTCCGACTCTTCCTCATCAACCAATTCCTCGACAGCCTCCTCGTCAGCCATTGATTCTTCTCCAATCTGTGCAACAAAACTCTCTTCTGCAAAAATGGCGGATGCCTCATTCGCCATGAGTTCTTGCTGGACCATGCTCTCTTCCATCATCGCACTCGGTTCTGGAAGTGGGGATTCTTCGCCATCCTCGGGGATATCGTACACATCTGAACGTCTTCCGCGTCGCGCACCTGATCCACTCAGTGCCGGTGTTTCTTGCAGGCTGGACTCGTCTTGCTCGAAATCAAGCCGCCTTGCAATCGGATGTGACGAAGCGCGAATGGGACTAGAAGGGGCGGCCGAGCTTCCTCTTGGCACCATGGAAGATTGTCGTCGTGGCGAGGAACCAAGGTGAGTCTTTTTGGGCGAGCGCGATCGAGGCGGAGGGAGGTTTGTTCGATTGCTGCGCAGGAGTTGGTTGGATGTGGTGAAGTCTGGAATCGAGCCTGATTGTAGTGTCAGAATACAATCTTTTGCACGCGCAACATTGCACTTGACGAGCGCTGTGGAACAAACGCACTTTCCTGCAGTTCCATCGACTCTGATCCTGTCGCGTTTCCATTGCGCTTGGGTGGAGACTTCTCGGGAGATGAGAAAATGCCAGAAATTGGTTCGAGGCCATGTTCGTCATAAACGCCCTTGTCTGCCAAAGTGATGCCTGTCTTTCTGCGCAATGTTAGCATGCGCGCGCAAAGTCGCAAAGTGCATTTACGTGCCTTCCTTGTACTCCGACGTTGTAATAATTATTTTCGCGATTTTCGCGCTTCTTTGGGGGCGCCATTTTGTAAAGGAGTGAGTGGTGGTACCGGGTACGCGTGTTGCTGCGATTGACGCGTCGTTGGTGGTGTGTCGAGTCGTGGGCGCCGTTGGTTGAACATATGTTGTTTGGGCTTGGGTGGGATGTAAACGAACATACGCGGGCATACCTGGGCTTGGCGAACGTCAACGCAGAAAGTGCACCACCACCAGTGCGGGCATAAGAATACCATTAGGCCATTGCTGCTAAAAGATGGAAATATGACATAATTGCACATTGCCGGCATCTCAATCACAAACTCTTCAATACACAGCTTACCGTGAGCCCTAACCATGCACCACATCACGCCATTTCCCATTCCCATTCCAACCACTCTCTCCCTCGCATAGGCTACCCAGTTTGCCCGTTGTAGCTCCGTGCCCCCCACACATTCCTTGAGTACTGCATGTCAACTATCCTGTACACAGGTTAACCTGGCTTAGCGCACGTCCATCACGGTGCACGAAATTGGCGCGGGTATAAGTTGAGGAGCCCACCCAATCGTGGGGACTTTTCTCGTGTCTTTATTCAACCTCAGTCAGAGTCTTTGGCTGCTCGGCCACAACCCAAAGACTAGCCATCCGCCAAAAGAGACGTCGCTCTCCTACAGTCACAGTCCACGTGCAGACCACGCACTGCTCCATTCATTGCTCGCGTAAGGATCCGCTCTCCTATCCACCCACTTTTGTATCTCCCACCAAACGCTCTTCCTGGATCAAGACTTTTCCGATAACCAACTCTCTTGACAGAACTGCCAACTCAGGAAAAGGCCGTCCAATCATGCCCGGGCGACGATATGCTTTTCGTGAAGCGTCGAAAAACGGCAGCGAGCCGCAGAATGAAAATATACAAGAAAGGAAATCGTAATCATGTCGATGATTCGTCACAGCCTGGGCGCAATCTCTGCTACCCTAATCCCGACCTGCCGTCACAGTTGCATGAAGGCAGGCTGGTGCATCGAAACTCATTCTAGATCAAAACATCGACGGCACCTCGAACCACTCTAGTTGGGGCAGGCGCTCTGGACGTGGCCAGGCTGCTTGCAGCGGTAGCACACACGCTCAGAAGATGTCTCCTGGGGGCAGTCACGAGACAAGTGGCCAACCTCGCCGCCTAAACAAAGTCAGTGACAGTCATCTTTTGCCAGCCGTATCCACTTACAGTTGTAGCACTTCTGGCCCTGGGTGCAGTCACGGCTCATGTGACCGAAACCACCGCACGAGTAGCAGGTGGTCTGGCGAGCACCACCGTAGCCACCGGCACCGCCGCCGTAGCCACCACGACCTCCTCCAAAGCCACCGTTGCCGTAACCGCCTCCCTGGGAGCAGTTGCGGGCAATGTGACCGACCTGGCCGCACTTGTAGCACTCCTGGCTGCCGCCACCACGGCCTCCCATTGGGGCACCGCCGTCCTTGGTGCACTCACGAGAGATGTGTCCAGTGCCGCCACAGCGGTAGCAGGTCTTCTCAGCCTGAGGAGAGCTGCACTCACGGCTAACGTGACCCTTCTCGCCACAGTTGTAGCAGGTTGGGGTGCCCTTGGTAGGGCACTCGGCAGCGCGGTGAGACGCATCGCCGCCTGCACATTGTTAGCAAAAGGCGCGTACAGCGTGTGAAGGTGCAAACGACGGCTCAAAGGACAGAAATGGCGACTGAGTCTGCTGCTCAAGAAAGCGACTGGTATCTTGCCCATTTGGTGTACAAGAAAATCCAGGGCTCGCTAAGTCGACCATTGCGGGGTCACAGTGGCGAGGGAGCCGTTTGGTAACGCAGGTAATATTCAACTTACAGTTGTAGCAGCCACGGCCGCCGGCGCCAGCAGCAGGAGCAGGTGCTTGGTATTCCATGATTGAGTTTGTGGAAGAGACCTATGCTTGTCAGATATTACTTCGCAGTCGCATGGCACATGGTGCGGGCATTGGTCTTACTGGAAGTGTCGTACGAGTAATGGAGGGAGTGACGTTGAAAGACGGTGTCTTCTGGTAAGAGATTCAAAGGGTCGATTGAATCGTACTGGCACCAATTGATGAGTTTGGATCGTTGTAGGAGGAACCGAGGGGCACCACCAGGGCAGAGAAAATATGTGCCCGCGGTTGTGTTTGCGCTAGTCTAAGCGAAATGCGGTCTAGCTCGTCGTTTGCTCCTTCCCAGTGTGTGGGTCGGGATGCTTGTTGGAATAAGGGACCGTTTTTATTATGGTTTGCGTGCGGAAAGGGCCCGGAGCGACTGTCTTCGGTCCGCGCCACGGCGTGCTGAGGCCTGGATCCCCGCGTGATTGGGGCGTCTTCTCTAAGTCCAGCCCGACGTCATTGGAGAGGGTGCCATCGCCTGACAGGCCTCGTGCAGATCTCCGGCTGTTCATGCAGCTAACCGGGCAGAGATAGATCGTGCAACCCATCGCACACGTGGTGCCATGATATGCGAATAATATTATCGCCGCCGACCAGCCCCGAGCGGGTCGATGCGCCCGTCCCTCAGACGCAATCGTGTGCGTGGGTGCCTGTGATGAGGCTGCTCAGACCAGAGGCTGCATCTGCCTATGCCAAAAGCTCGCATTCTGTGGTCTGGTAGCACAAGGTGTGTCTTGATCTATCAGAACCATCGACTGCCCACTATGCCACTACCGCAAGCTCAATAACTTCAAAGGGTCAATTACATGCATGAGTGTGGGCATTGAATCGCCAGAATCGTTGCTATGGAATGTAGGCTATTAGTATTGCTTCAGATCCCAATGGCTTTTGTTGCATAGTGAATAATACGGGCAGGGCCTTAACTTGCTATTGAAGCACCAAGAGTCTTCTCCTAGTAGACACAAGGAATTCACGACACCGTGATTTGATACTGCGAGTTATGTGCTGTTATGGATTTCTAGCTGATCTGGGAAGAATATCGCATTGCCGCAATAAGAAACGACGGCCAGGTTACATACCGCGGAACACCAACACTGAAGTTCTGCGCGTGAAGTTCTCATAAAGTGCAGAAGGCCATACCAGAAAAAGTTTGTAGGCCCGATACCTACACCAAGGGTCTAGAAGCGTGTCTAGTCTGCTCTCTCCACCCCAAAGAACCCCACCGCTACCGACCCACCGCAGTCTGAAATCCCCTTTTGCTCTCGCCGCCGTTCCAATTTCAATACGTATGTGATAAGTTGCCAAACCTGTTATTCTTACATCAAGTCAAGCAACAAGCTTGAAATCGGGCTTGTGGTTTAGTGGTATAATACTCCCTTAGCATCAGTTCTTCCGCCTTCAAAAGCGCAAGACGACGCCTGGGAGTGGTCCGGGGTTCGATTCCCCGCGAGTCCATTTCTTTTTTCTTTTCTTTTTTCACGTCTGTGATGGACTACGCGAAGTCCCCTAGGTGGAGGGGCTCCTTTTTTGCACCACGGTAAGCAGCTGGTCTGTGCGCCGTGCCTTATCGCGTTAATGTTAAGGGGACTTCATCAATGCGATACCGAGTCGAGAGAAGAGCCCTAGAGGCTTTTCTTGAATCAGTATACAGTATCTCTTTTTCCACATATCCTCGCTCTACAGCACCACTCCCTAAAGCGAAGCGACTGTGGAGTTGGACGTGGCCGAAGACTTAGTTAGATGGATGATATACCGAAAGAGGAAAATATATCAGAATGATCGCTACGAAGTTCATGACTGGATATCTTTGTTTGCAAACCGTATGATGAATACACAACTGCTGTGGCACTTTGTACAACGGTCCCTGATATCTCAACAGTCCAGGCCAAGGGTCGCTCGCGTGCCAAAGTTCCTTATGATCCTATTTTTGTTTGTTTCTTCCATCTTGCCGATCCCAGCAACAAAAGTTAGCGCTGGGGCCTCCGGTAGCTTGCATCGGTATCGGGTCCGTAGTACGCAGAAGAAAGATACCTCATTTCCACCAACACTGCCCACACCAGCCAAATACCAGGGAATACACAAACGACCCGTAGAAAAGACTTTGTAACAACAATCCTGTATTCTAATGAGCTATCACAATGCTCACCGTGGTTGCTCGGTATTGAGGCAAGACACGTCCGTCAGGCGTCCGCATCGCCATTTGAAACGACGGCGGTCAACGCTTTTATCGGCAATGATGGAACTCTGAATAAGATTCTGCCCAGCCATCGGAACGAACGTACCAATGGGCAGTATGGCAGAAGAGGTTCCCTACAAGATAAAACAGTCCGGTCATTCTGAAGATAAAGCGCCGATTTATTGCTACCAAGAAAAGACCATCCGGCAGTCGAAGAGCCCTGAATTCGGCATGCGCATCCATGCAGCACGGCGTGAGAGAAGAGCAGGTATCCTACCATACAGTCTGGACCGAACCAGGAACTCCAAAATTGGGATCATTGATGTTTCTTGTTTACGCGAAGCGCGGACGCTAATAGGATCCGCGCCTCCATCAGGAAATAAGCCAGGGGCATCTTCTTGGCTGAGGGAAAGCCATAGTGCCCCTAAACCTTTACAGGACAATCATACTTTGTAATAGCACCGCAAGTAATATTGATAATGAGGTATCCTCGCAATACCTACACTTCGGGCGATAGGGAGCTTACTATGTCTCTCAACCCAACGGTCTACAAAAGTAGTTGCAAACTTCACTGCGACAAGAGACATTTGGCACATGTCAACCGACTGTGTAACTAGACATACCCGCACGTAGTGACTTCATGACTTTAATCAACATTATCCGTGCCTAAGGTCAGCCATTGCAACATCTGACACACGCTGGGGGCTGAGCCGTCCACAGCCAAGCACGCTACACGCTGAATCGGCATCGATATTGATTTTTATTCCCCGAACCCTGGGCAAAGCCAGTCCAGTCTTGGCTGTGCGCAAATGGACATATATCATAAGTACTCGGTCATGCGGTAATCTTTGCTTCTTGGTTACCCTTCCCCTCTCTTTGTTCCGTCAAAGGGGTCTGTCACTCGTTTAAGTATCGCCTTTTTTGCATCATACATAATACCGGTCGATCATTCACCCACACACTCGCTTGTTTTCTCATTACCGCGCTTGAGTCTGAGACAGTCGATCGCTTCAAATCAACTCGGATCATGCGTTTCACAGAGTTGTCTGCAGCGCTGCTGCTGGCGCCTCTTGTGGCTGCTCACGCCGGTGGTCACACTCCAAAGATAGTTGGATCTGGGTCGAAAGATATTGGTAAACTAAGGAGTAGGAACATTCTCGACAGTCGGGCTCCCAGGGTTGCTGGTCCTGAGAAGGCTCTCAGCAAGCGTCAAGGCGGTGCTAGTGGTCGATGTGGAGCTGATCATGGTAACGCAAGCTGCGCTGAAGGATACTGCTGCTCCACAGCAGGTTATTGCGGACAAGGATGTAAGGATTCCGAGTGTCTGATTGATATGAACAACAAGCTAATGCTACATGTCTGATTAGCGGACTACTGCGCAGCACCAGACTGCCGCTTCCAGTATGGTCCTGCCTGTGATGCCAACAAAGTTCCTACTGGAGGTAGCACCCGCAACACTCCTCGTACGAAGCTTGGCAACCAGCCATATGGTGGCGAAGGCATTTATGATTGCGTCGAACCGAACACTATTGCCATTACTTACGATGACGGTCCATATATCTACACCAGCGGTGTGCTCGACCAGTTCGCAGCCTACAATGCCAAAGCGACGTTCTTTGTCACTGGTATCAACATTAACAAAGGTGCAATTGACGACAAGAGCACACAATGGCCCTCTATCATATCTCGTATGATCGCCGAGGGACATCAAGTTGCCAGCCATACTTGGTCTCATCAGGATCTTAGTGCCATTACAAAAGAGCAGCGTTACGACCAGATGGTCAGGAATGAAGTAAGTGATGACATAGGACGACATCGATTACTCAACTGACTTTGTACTTCTAGATGGCCCTCACAAACATCATCGGTAAATTCCCGACGTACATGCGTCCGCCATACTCATCTTGCACTGCCGCATCAGGATGCCAGAAGGATCTTGCAGACCTAGGATATGTTGTTTCCTACTTTGATCTTGAGTAAGCACCCTGAAACATAATATTGAAATCGCGCGCTGACTTGTGGATTAGCACTGATGGTTAGAGATACTTCACATATACTCTTATCAGCATCAGCCTTTCTAACAGCCAATAGACTATAACAACGTAACACCTGATCTGATTCAGAATTCCAAGAACAGAGTCAGTGCTGTGATTAATCCGAGCAATCCGACCGAAGACAATTTCCAGGCTATTGCGCACGATATCCACCAGCAGACGGCACAGAATCTCACAGGCTATATGCTCGATTTGATGACACAAAAGGGATACAGGCTGGTCACATTGGGTGAATGCTTGGGCGAACCGGAGGCAAACTGGTACCGCACTCCCACCGACCGACCAGCTTCATCGTCTGTATTCACACCACCTGGTTCTTCCACTGCCTCAGGAGCCGCCAGCGCCACGTCTAGCGGCGCTGTCGTCACTCCTACGGCCGTGTCTCCTGACAGTTCTTGCGGCTCCAAGGTGGGCTACACATGTCTCGGTAAGATTGGTAAACATGAATGGATCTGACTTTCGCTAACCAACCCAACAGGATTTGCTCAAGGAGAGTGCTGCTCCCAGTATGGCTTCTGTGGAAACACTGCGGGTCACTGTGGAACAGGCTGTGACCCCAAATTTGGCAAATGCTCAGTCGCTGGATCTTCGGCACCTGCCAGCCCCGCGTCTTCAACCGCCAGTGGGCCTACTCAGCCAGCTTCCAGCACTGGGTCCGCTCTTCCGACTCCCAACCCCTCCAACGGGGTGTCCCAAGATGGTTCGTGTGGTGGTGAAAAAGGCTACACATGTGTCGGCTACTTTGAGGGCGAATGTTGCTCGCAGTAAGTCTGTCTCTTTCTTTTTTTCACCGAGACCATGTAGCTGACGAAGCTTGCATAGATATGGCTGGTGCGGCTCGAGCGCTGACCACTGTGGAACCGGCTGCAACCCTCTTCTTGGTCGATGCGCATCTTCGGCATCTATCCCGATTCCCAGTGTCCCTGCAACTAGCTCAACACGCAGTATGACCACGTCTACTCGCCCAGCGACCAGTACCCAAAGATCCTCAGCAACCAGCACTCGCACATCTTCAGCCCCCGTTGCTACATCTACCCCCCTCAAGACGTCACCGAATGGACGCTGTGGAGGAAACACTGGCTACACGT